TGATAAATATAGATGTAAAAGTCCTCAACAAAATACTAGCAAACTGAACTAAACAGCACATTAAAAGGGGATCATTCATCATTATCAAATGATGTTTATCCCAGGGATACAAGGATGGTTCAATACACACAAACCAATATAAGTAACATATCACATTAACAGAATAAAGGACAAAAACCATATGATCATCTCGATAGATAAAGAAAACACATTTGACAAAATTGAATATCCTTCCATGGTAGAAACACTCAACAAGTTAGGCCTAGAAAGAATGTACCTCAACACAATGAAGGTCATATTTGACAAGCTCACAGCCAACGTCATACTGAATGGTGAAAACTTTAAGGCTTTTTCTCTAAGATCAGGAACAAGGGAAGAATAGGCCACTCCCACTTTGTCTAATCAGTAGAGAACTGGAAACCCTAGTCAGAAATCCCAGTCAGAGCAACAGGTAAAAGAAAGAAATAAAAGGTATACAAATGAAAAGGAAGAAGTTAAATTGTCTGTGTTTGTAGAGGACATGATCTTATATGTATAGGAAACTCCTAAAGATTCCATCCAAATGCTGTTAAAACTGATAAATGAATTTAGTAAAATTATAGGACATAAAAATCAACATACAAAAATCAGTAACATTTCTATACACTAACCATGAACTATGTGAAAATGAAATTTTTAAAATCTCATTCACAATAGCTACAGAAAATAAAAAAAATACTTAGGAATAAATGTAACAAATGAAGTGAAAGATCTGAACACTGAAAACTACAAAATACCCGTGAAAGAAACTGAACAAGACACAAATAAATGGAACAATGAAAGCTAGATTGAAGGAATTAAAATTATTAAAATGTTCATACTACTCAAAGAAACCTACATATTCAATGCAATCCCTACCAAAATTCCAACAACATTTTTACATTAATAGAAAAAAATAATCCTAAAATTCATATGGAAGCACAGAAGATCTGAATAGCCAAAGCATTTTTGAAGAAAACAGAAAAACAAAGCCATAGACATCACAGCATCAGTAGGACTGTAACACCCAAGATGTAGAGTAATCCAGGATTGGGAAATGTTTCCAATACAAATGTAGGTCAACTTTAACTTGCCTCTGGCAGATGGGAGCCACAGTTGCAGCTCAAAGTGTCCAGTGCAATTCTATCACATCTTGCTTGCTTTCTAGCTCGGCAGAATCAACATTTTGTGCATTTTGAGTAGGGGTTATGAGTTGTGTTTCTCATTTGTGTTTTGTGTGAGTATTAAAGGTAGCATGGGGGTAGTACAAGACCTTGGTTCCCAGAGGTGATATATAGACCATTAGTATCTGCCTCACCTCCGAAGATATGAATATGTTAAAAATGCAGAATCTTGAGAATCATCTCAACTCCACCAGATTAGAATCTGCAAAGAAAATCTCCATACCAACTTAAAGTTGGCAAAGCTTTAAGTTTCTTAAAACTGTTAAGTTTAAGAAGAGAGATGATAGCTATGCAGTGGGCAGAGTAGAGTCAGTCCCTAATTTCTACTTGAAATATCCTTGTCCCAGGTTCCCCATTAATTTAGAGATACCATTTCATCCTTTATGAATAAAGGCTACAACATCTTTTTTTACCCTGAACTCACTTGATCAGCAGCCTTAATTATTTAAACCGTGGCCCAGACTTAGGAATTTAAAAAAAAAAAAAAAAAAACACTCCAGGCATAGATGCCTTAACAGCTACATATCACAGATTGTATTATACACATTAGCAAGATCTCAGACCCTTATAATTCCAGTAAGCTTAGTGCTGTGGATCCCTGACCACAAAGGATTGGAAGCAGCAAAGCAAGGCAAAGGGGAAGTAGTAAAAATGCAGTTGGGATGAAGTTTACAATGAGAACTGATGGTAGCAAGAATAGCTTTGACATGTTCATGGTTATTTAGATTTACACATCTGTGCACACATCAAAAACAGTCACTCAGATCTTAGAGAAATTGTACTCAGTTCTAGCTACATATTAGAATCACCTATTTTTCTCAAGCCTCAGTTTCAGAGATTCTGATCTAATTGGTTTGGAATGGGTGCTGGTATAGTATTATAGCTTCCCAGGTGATTCTTAGTGGTTTAGGGTCAGTCATCATAGGGCCCAGAGGTCTAAACACCTGAGTAGCTGCCAAGTAGGCTCTTTCCAGCTTGTTACAATCATTGACCATCAAGGATCCCAGGTTGATTAGGACGACCTTGGTTATCAGGATTTTTTTTTTTTAAGACGAAAATACTCTATATATTAGAGGTGATTTTGACAGAAAATAAGATAGCCCAGAACTAAATGATATATAAACACCAATATAAGTCCTGTGTCATAGTTGCAGAAATCTAGAAGGCACTGGTGGGAAGAATCAGACACCCACCCCCATCTCTCCCTCCTGACCCTCCCCCCATAGCCCAAAATGTACCATGCCCATGAATCACCTGGGGGTCTCATTCCAATACAGATTCTGACTCAGTAGGTCTCAGGGGGAGGCTTCAGATTCCACCATTCTGATGAGCTCCAGGTGATGCTACTGCAGCTGGTTCAGGGACCACACTGGGAATCAAGGTCATCCTGATGGTCTTGACTACCCCTCAACCCATTCTTTGGAACCCAAACAAGAAAAATGGCTTCTAAGAATTCCACTGGGGTCCTTGATCCAGAACTACCGTACCCAAAACTACAGGCTTTCCTGAACTAACGTCATAGATTTTGTTCATCTCTTTTGTTAACTGTTCCCTCCTCCCACTAGGCAATGTTATAGGAGGACTGGGGACTACTGAGTTAGAAACGGGCTTACAGCACATGTAGTTCGCCCCATTCATTACAAAAGTATGGCACTGAGGCCAAGTTGGCGAAGGATCTACCAAGTTCACAGGTGATCATGGCAAAGGCAAAACTAGATCTAAGTCAGGACATGAACGCATCCGTTAAGGATTCTGTCAAATTGATTGCTTCCTGTAGCTTTCTGTGTGAAACGTCCATTTGCTTATCCTCAGGGAAATCACAGACTATTAAGACTCAGAAAGGAAACAATTTGAAAACTGGGCTGATGGCCTTTATAGCCCTTCGACGGGGCAGATAACATGCTGCAGAAGCCGAGAGACAGCTCTGAGACTATGCAGCAGCTACTGCTTCCCCTCTTGCGGAACGTTCACGAAAAAAATCTCAAGGGCTCTGTAACTTGCCCAGTGAACTCCACAGTCATTTTACTTCATTTTCTTTTCTTGGAACCCTTTCTCAAATAATTTTTAAAATCCCACACAATAATATATATATTCTTGCTCAATATTAAGAAGCCCTCATGCAAAATTGAATAGTTTTTACAAAAGAAGGAAAAAGAAATTCTATTCCCAGAACATTCTGCTTTCCCAGACACAAGGATCCAATTCTTGCTCCGTTGTTTGTAACCTTCTGGGTCCTAGGGCCACGGATGGGGCTGGGTCAGTGGCCACATTGGCTCCTGGGGACCCCTTCCCTGGCCACAAAAGTCCATCTCAGCAGCACTATTTAAAGTGGACTTGTTATTTCTTACCTCAGAGCTCTGGCCTGGGATGAGACGCCCCCAACAGAGCTGGTTAGCAACGTTTTCATCTTACTCTGTGGCTATCTGGGTCTGAAGTCAAGAGCCATTCACAGGAAAATCAGCCTGAAACCTGTAAGTTTGCATATTAAATATGAACACCACTAAGGGCTACAGTGGAAAAAAGCTTTGCTGGGCTCAAGGACCCTCACTCCACCCCAACTTCCCTCTGCTCTTCTCTTCTGTGTTCCTGGTAAATCCCGTTATACCTCGACTACCTTAGGCCACCTCAGCCCCTTCTTGGGAATTAGGTTGTCTGGACAGGCAAAAAGGCAGATACCCAGCTGCCAGGTGAATCAGGCATCCTCATCAGATCTCTTGATATCCACTTTTGTGACACTTCAGAGAATCACAAATTATTTTATTAATGCCTGGCCAGAGAGATGGGAAAGAGCTAGAACGTGAGGCGTGGAACTCCATCCCGTGGTGATGTTTGAGCCAGGCTGGAGCTGGCCTCACGTGTGTCTCATTGTGCTGACTTTCTTAATTGCCTCAGTGGGAATTCGTTACAGCAAAATAAAGTGAAATTGTTTTCCTTATTGCTTCTAATTTACAGAGATGGTTTTGATCATATAAATCAGGAACTTTTGAAATCCACTGATCTTAGGGTGGAAGGCGGGGTTTCTTTTTAAGTATTCATTTTGAACTATGCTTTCACTAGTAAATGCAAAGCCCAAAGGGAAACACCCATGTTTCTCCACCACATTTTGTAATACCTGTTAGATGTCCACAGCATCACCGAGCCATGGAAAACGCATGCTTTGTGTATGGAAGACGAAGGGGGAGAGTCAAGAGTTGCACTTTGCCAAGAAATGTACTCTGATGCTCAAAGGCCCAGGCTGGGACCGATCCAGGGAAGCTTGGAAAGCCCAGTCCTAGCTGAGGCCCGCGCGGGTCTCTTTTGCTCCCAGAAAATGTGGAAGGGGTCCCGGCCCTGGGCATCCTGGTGCCGACTGTGAGTTCCCAGCAGAGTGCCCAGAGTCCGGGTCCGGCAGCGGAGGGGAGCGGCGGGGCCTCCCAGAAGAAGAAAGGGCCACCGTCACCCCAGGTGCCTCTCTAGCAGCGGAGGCCGGCGGTCGGGGTCGCCGCGGGCCTGCTGGGGCCAGGTCTGCGTTCCCAGGCGCTGCCACCGTTCCAGGGAGCAAGTCAGGCCGGGACGTAGCGCCTGCGTGGGACCCTCACTCGCCACCACGACCCCCACGAGCCCCGCCCCATCCTGCCCTACGCCCTGCGCCCAGGTCGTCGTCCCGCCCCGGAGCCCCGCCCCAAGGCCGTCCTCCCGCCCCGCCGCTGGGTGGCGACCGCAGGCTGCCTGGCTATAAAGCGTGGCCCCACATCCCAGGGACCAGCGAGCTACCTGGAGAGGCTCTGGCTGTGGCTTCTTAGAGGGTCCGAGGGAGCCATGGTCGAGCAGCAGTTACGCACGGACTCGATCACTGACCACCCGGACCGCCTGTGGATCTGGCAGCAGCTCGTGTATTTGGATGAGAACCAGTGCACCTGGCTGCCCTTAGTCATGGAGGTACAGCCCGCTTTGGAGCGGATGGTGGGGCAGCAGGGGCAGCCGCGGGAGCTTGGGAGGCCCCAGGACGGGCGAGGCCTAGAAAAGCACCCACTGTGGGGCGGGGAGGCTCCCCACAGATGAAGCCACTTTGAGCTGGGCTCTGGAGGATGAACAGTTCACCAGGCCGGGAAGAAGGGTGGGAGAACCACAAAGGAATGTCGACCAAAGGATGGGACCCAGTGCCTGTGAGTGTGACTATAATGTTGACTACAGCAGGACGTTTCTGGGCTTCGGGGTCCTAATCCTTAAAATGGGTATCTCTAAAGTAAGTGACTCATTCATGTGGCCAAACATCGGAGTCATCTTAGGTGGGTCCCAGAAATCTGTATTTTAAAAAGAGAACCCTCAACAGCTTCGGGTCATGGCAACCATGAACATAGCCCTAGAGTGTGAGGTATTTCCTATTTCCTCTGTGCTTTATTAAGAAGAACAAATTTAACGAGTACAAGCGCCGGTATTGAATCAGTATTGGCGTGGTTTCATATGTGATACTTTAAGATGCGTCTTTAGTTCATGTTAGGTTTTTATTAAAGTAATGTAACTCTTTTACAAGTATTTGGATTTACTCAATGAAAGAGTCAAAAAATATTCAAACTCTTTCCAAACATACACTGAAGAAAGCATATAGATTTAAAAATATATTAGAACATACATGTAATACAGTAGCAAATAAGAGTTATTGAGTGTTGACTGTGTCTCTACAGATGGGAAACTGAAGCACAAAAATGTAATTTGCCCAAGGTAGAACTGCTAGTAGGTAATGGGGCTGGAATTCTAGGCTCTTCAACCACCAAAATTTGCACTTCTGTTGGCATTTAAATTTTTTAAATATACATTTTTCTTTAAAAATCATGTCAAATGTTTACTTAAGTCAAAATTTGAAAAATAATTTGAAGATTCAGTGAATATCTTTTTTAAAATGTCTGCTTGAGAAATCTCTTCTTCAATGTGACACCAAAAAATCACGAATCTAGACAGTTTTTCACATAATCATGTTAAATGCCACACAAAAAGTAACCCACTAGCAAACTATGGGGCAGGGTTTGCCTCACACACTTGAAAAAGCCAGCATTCTTTTTCTCTTTTTTTCTTTCATCTTTTTTTTTTTTTGGTAGAGACAGGATCTTGCTCTGTCACCCAGGCTAGTCTCAAACTCCTGGCCTCAAGTGATCCTCCTGCCTCAGCCTTCCAAAGCACTGGGATTACAAGTGTGAGTCACTGCAACTCAGCAGAAAAAAGTGTGCCTTTCATGGCCCTTGCTAGGTGGCTAGACACGTGTGCATGCTGGTGGTTCTGGCCCAGCCAGAGTCCCTGTGAGGATCATGCATGGCCTAAGGAAGTGAGCTTCAGGGGACCGTGATGACCAGCATTTCACACTCGGACCCTTCCCCAGCTGGGTGGGTGGCTGGCAGGAAGGACTCCGGTTTTCTGTGCCTGGAGGAGCCCTGGCAAGTGGACCCTGAAGGTATGCCCTGTCCTTTTCTTCTCCTCAGAAGGCGGATAAATTACGGGTGCTCTTTCGTCAGGAAGTCACCGTCCTGGGGAAGCCTATGACCCCCACCCAGATAGGCCGAAGCCCGCTGCCTCTCATGTGGCAGCTCTACCCTGATGGACGATACCGATCCTCAGACTCCAGTTTCTGGCGCATAGTGTACCACGTCAAGGCGAGTGTGTTTCTCCCAGGGATCTATCGGGCGATCTTGGGTTTCCCCTCCTCAGTGCCTGGCCTCAGTGGTTTATCTTCCCTCCATCCCAGTGCCAAAAGCATTAAAAAATGGGGGAAATGTACAACTGCGGATTTCTAAAGGATTTTAACAGAGAGAAGATGGATCCTCTGAGGTCTCTAACAGAACCCTCCCTCTACTCCCTCCCAGCCCCCAGCCTGGCCGCAGGAAGTCCCCTTTGGTGGGCAGTCACAAGCTGAAGGCTACAGGGAGGAGGGCAGTCTCCAAGAGCCCCCGAAATCCTCACACTCGGCTTTCCACTGTTATTCCCAGCTAGGGAAGGCAGAGGAGTGAGGAATGGAGGGAGAGAAGGGCTCTGGCTCATCAGTGCCCTCTCTCTCTCTCTGCCTCTCAGATTGAAGGTGTGAAGAACATGCTTCTCGAGCAGCTGCCAGCTGACTAAGTGTGGCATGGTGAGTTCCACTGGAGCCTGACGCCTCTTAGTCCACAGCGGCTGTATCAGATGGAAAGACCACCCCTTCTCCGTGAGGGCAGTGCTAACCCCTCCCCAACTGTTGCCTTCTGAGGGTCCTGGGATGGGAGAGGCTTCCTAGAGGCACTCATGTCTCCCCCTTACCACTTTGGGACCCAGGAGCTTCGCAGATGCATACGGCCCCCTTAGCGCAGCTGCACACATCTGTACAGTGCTCACGAGTTTCAGCCAGTGCTTTCATTGTCAGTTGCTTTCTTAAATTACATCAACCGAGCCAGATATTAGATGGTGTTACTGCGTTTTGAGGAAGTGGTCTTCTGACCATAAGCCCTCTGTCCTGTTTAGAATTTGCCTTGGCTCAGACAGAAGGCCTCTGGGGCCATCACTGACCACCAGGCTTCCCACTCAGACTTGCTCCCGCAGCACCGCCCCTCACCCCTACCTGGTCCTTTCCTTCACCCTTGACTCTGTCTTCTCTTGTCCTTTCCCAGGTCTTGCAGCACCCGTCTCCTTTCACCCCAGGGCCTGCACCTGGCCAGTCCACAATGGGGATGTTCGTGTTTCTATTCACCTTCGTTTCCTATGCCGGTGTCGTCTTCTCCACCATGCTGGGGTCTGGGAGAGAACAGACAGACAGAGGATGAGCTCTACCCAGGGCCTGCTGGACCTGCCTGTGACTCACTGTGCTCCCATCAGCACTACCACTCCTGCCAGGGAGGACTCCAGTTGGTAGAGCTTCCTCCAGGTCCCCAGTATACCTGTGCCTTGGCTTTTCTCAGCTGGCTGATAGTCTTTGGCCTCTTTCTGTCCCTTCTGTCCCTCACGGCACTAGTGCTTCATGTCGCACACCCATTCAGCTCCCTAACTTCTGAGAACACAGCCGATTCACCTGAGCAAGGCCTCTGAGACCCTGGGCCAGTGGTCTCACGTGGGGCTGTGCCTGCACACAAATACATCTGCAAACCCTGCCTGCCAACAGGGGTTCAGGGGCAGCTCAAGGAAAGGCCTGAAAGGAGCCCATATCTGTGCTCAGGACTCAGAAGCCTTTGGGTCAATGGTCCACAGCCTGGGACGCAGCATCAGGCCAGGCTGCTGAGCCCCGTGGACGAACCCCCAGAACCCTTGGCTGCCTACCTGGGAAAGGGATAGATGTTGGGTTTCCCCTCTTTTATAGATGACCACACACCTGGGTGTTGTTACTAGGCTGTATGTGGCATGAATACTTTTTGTAATAATCGATTGATTAAATGCAAGATGATTTCTCTAACTTTGTGCTGAATCAGTATCTATCCTTGGCTTAGACTCTGGTGGAGAGAAGTGAGAATAGGTAGCCACCAAACAAGAAATAAATATTCATGGATTTACTTCTTTTACTTTGGAGATAAGGGACTACAGTTTTTTTTTTTTTTTTCTCCATGTAATCCAACACTTAAAACCCCAGCGCTCTTGGAGGCATATGTTGAGAACCACTAGAGTAAGCAACCTCAAAAACGTTGTCAGCAATTCTTGGTATTCAAGAGCCCTTCCAATCCGCCTCCTCGTGGTTCTGCCCTCCTTATTGCCATGTGCCCTTGCCCCAGCCAGCTCTGCCTCCTCCTCACCCAGGCAGTCACCAGGCTCTGTCCTTGCCCGGATACTTCTATCCTTTCTGCTCTCAATCCCAGCAGGAGCCCCTCCTGCCTGAAACTGTCCCTGAGCACTCAGGCCCCAGGCAGATTCCCCTCCCCATGTCCCCTGACCTGCAGTCACAGCAGAGCCCGCCCTGTGACCTCCTCTTACTCCCTTCCCAAGACCCGCTGCCACTCCCTAGATGGTAGCTGGACCTCGGATATTACCGGGGGATGCCTTCCGGAGAGTGGAATCCGTCCTGGGTAGAATCCTGGCCCTCCCACTTGTGTCTCTAGTCCACAGCTTTCTGGTCACAGAGTTGAACTTAGAGGGTCCTTCTGAGAATTCAGTGGGACATATAACTCAAGTGCTTTAAGAGAATTGTGTAAGGAAAACACTATTTCTCCCACTTTATAGTCTCTGAACCCAGGTTTCTTAACCAGCACTAGACAGAGAAGAAACACTGGCGCCCAGCGTGCCAGGGTGTGTGTCTCTTGTTGTAAACCCGTCACCTAGCACGGTGCATGGCAGCCTGGGAGTTCGGTCTGTGGGAGCAATTACTGTACAGATGCCTCTCAGCAGGGCCAAAACATGGAGAGTCAGAGCAGTGGCACCACAGGAGGTCAGGCAGCCGCCTCATTTTAGGAATAGGAACATGGAGACCCAGAAAGAGGAAAGCTCGTGTGCAAGATTCTTTTGTTTACTGAATATTTAACCATCACCACGAACAGCGCCAGGAGCTGGGATGCAGCCTTAGTTCTGGAAAAAGATAAAACGGTGCGAAATCCCAGAAGAAAATAGAACAAAGTAACAGGGTAGGGAGTTCGAATGGCTGGTAAGGAAATTCCTGTCTGAGAAGGTGGCATTTAAGATTGAGCCTTGAGGCCAGGCGCTGTGGCTCATGCCTGGCCATCACTTTGGGAGGCCAAGGCGGGTAGATCATGAGGTCATCAGTTCAAGACCAGCCTGGCCAACATTCTGAAACCCCGTCTCTACTCCAACTACAAAAAGTTAGCTGGGAGTGGTGGCGGGCGCCTGTAATCCCAGCTCCTCTGGAGGCTAAGGCAGGAGAATCACTTGAACCTGGGAGGCAGAGGTTACAGTGACTGGAGATTGCACCACTGCACTCCAGCCTGGGCAACAGTGACAGACTCCATCTCAAAAAAAAAAGATTTGAGCCTTGAAAAAGAGGGAGCTAGATTCTAAGGAAGAGGTAATGGCAAATGCTGTGAAGATTTAATTTGCTGTGGAAATTACAAACACAGCAAAAGGATCACTTCTCACTAAAAGAAATATTGTTTTGTAAGAATAAATGTCCCTAATAAATTAACTAAATGCAATGCAGAATCTCAGTTTTCCACAAGACTGACTCTAGGGTTTTGGCTGGAATGGTTGGGCAGACAATGGGGCTGGAATTGTTAGACGTCCTATTTATCAGGATGAGGGAGGCATAGGTTTGGCCAAGGGTGGGGGATATCTCAGGAGTTCTGTGTTAGTGTGTTACACATGAGTTACTTAGGATACCCCAGTTGAATTGCTGATAGTCTGTTGATTGAATGTGGATCTAGAACTCAGCTCAGGTCCAGAACAATACATTGAAGAGTCTTTAAAATGATCATTAAAGCCAGGGGCTTGACTGAGATCACTTATGGGGAGATGGTGGTCTCTTTGTTTTTTTTATTTATTATGATTTTTTGTTTTGAGACAAGGTCTTGCCATGTTGCCCAGGCTGATCTCAGACTCTCAAGCTCAAGTGATCCTCCTGCCTCAGCCTCCCTCCCAAGTAGCCAGGATTACAGGTACAAGTCACCAATGCTTAGTGATGGAGATGTCTGAAACCAAGGGAAGAAAGTGTTTTAAGGAGGATGTGGGCAGCTGAGGAACTCGCTGTTGAGAGACTGCGTAGAGGGAAGGAAGGAATGTGGCCATTGGAGTTGGTATGTGGAGAGCGATGGGGACCTTGCCAGGCAGTGTCAATGCTGTGATGGGGCAGAGCCCTGCTGGTGTGGCAGGAGAGGAGGGGTGTTGAGGAGAGCCAGCCCTGCTGTTAGCCTTGTTGTAAGGAAAATTGGAAAAGTGAGGTGCTGAGTATGTTCCAAGTAGGAAATAATGGAGCCTGGGCATGCATGCTCCAAGAAAGGGTTGGTGGAAAGTGACCACCTGATGGGGCAGAACAGAGGGCCCAATCCCAGGAACAATCCTAGATGCCTGAGGAATCTAGAAGGCACAAACCGGAGGCACAGACGCACGTGCCAGCATCCGACAGAGCAGTGCCAGCAGCTGATCTATGTTATGCTAATCTTTTTAAAATTTTTCCCTACACAAAGTTGTTTTGCCAATGTATTTTAAATACTTCATAATTTTTCCCTTACATACTTTTTTTCTGAGACGGAGTTTCACTCTTGTTGCGCAGGCTGGAGCGCAATGGCATGATCTTGGCTCACTGCAACCTCTGCCTCCTAGGTTCGGGTGATTCTCCCACCTCAGCCTCCCAAGTAGCTGAGATTTCAAGCTTGCACCACTACACCCAGCTAACTTGTATTTTTAGTAGAGACAGGGTTTCATCATGTTGGTCAGGTTGGTCTCGAACTCCCGACCTCAGATGATCTGCCTGCCTCAGCTTCCCAAAGTGCTGGGATTACAGGAGTGAGCCATTGTGCCCAGCCTCCCTCTACATATTTTATTCCATATATATTTATTTATATTTTCTTTAATATCTTTGAATAACATGTTGCAGTTTTCAGAGTATAGGTTTTACATTTCTCTTGTTAAATTGATTCCTAAGTTTATTCTTTTTTTATTATGCTAAAAAAAAACATCTAATTAGCCTGGTGTGGTGGTATGTACCTGTAGTGCCAGCTACTTGTGGAGCTGAGTGGGGAGGATTGCTGAGCCTGGGAAGTCAAGGCTGCAGTGAGCCGTGTTTGTGCCACTGCAGTCCAGCCTGGGTGACAGAGCAAGACCCTGTCTCAAACAAACAACAAAAAAAGCAAACAAAAAACCTAACATGAAATCTGCCCTCATAACAGACTTTTAAGTGTTCATATAATTGTTAATTATATGAACATTATTGTACAGTAGATCTCTAGAACTTTTTCCTCTTGCATGAGAAAGAAAACCACCACTCTTCTTTCTGCTTCTATGAGTTTTCCAACTTCAGCTTTCTCACATTAGTAGGAATCACGCAGTATCTGTCCTTCTGTGGCTGATTTATTTCACTTACTGTGATGCCCTCAAGGCTCATCCATTTGGCTAGATTTCCTTCTTTTCTAAGGCTGCATAAAGTTTCATTGTATGTATAGACCACGATTTCCTCATCCATCAGCGGATAGGAGGTGGTTTCTATTTGGTATTATGGATGG